AAACCGTCCGCATTCAAGATCGCATGCACATTAAAATTCATTCACATTCAGGTACACTCTATTCAACAATTTTATTATCATTCAACGATATCAATTTCATTCCAGAGTTTTTATATTCATTCAGGAACTTCTGCGCAGCAACATTTGCGCATTACGTTACACGATTAGCATGGCTCCCAGAGCCCACGATATTTCGATTGATGAAGATGGCGGACGAACGGGCGGTGAGTGTTTCAACCTCTCTCTTCAACTGGGAACAACTCTTTTCAGCAGCATGGGATCTTTTGGATGAATGTGAACGTCTGTGGGGTACAAGCAATATTGATTTAAGAGAAACTATCCAGAACAGGCTGGAAGCCCTTATACTTTCCCTTCAACAAATCTTGCCGTTTCTTACAAGAAACTCTAGCTGTTGTAAATGAAATATTTAGAAATGTGTGCCTTTTACACATGTTTCATGTTGCTGTTCGAATCACTGATCTTGTTCGATTGAGTAGACTCTGTACTCTGCTTCGTCCATCTTGAAAATTACACATTTCGTCACGAACGCGTCCTCTTATGGTCTCTTCGATATCCTCGCCATAATGTTTTTCAGTACATTGCCGCCAAAAGACGGCGCCTATTGACGTAATGCGCAACTGTTGCTGCGCAGAAGTTGCTGAATGGACATCATGGAATGAAAATAAAATTGTTGAATAGAGTGTTCCTGAATGAGAATGAATTTTAATGGCATGTATGTAGCGATCTTGAATGTGGACGGTTTTTGTTCGTGAATGAAAATATAAATCGTGAATGTGAATGTATACAACGTCCCTGAATTTTGCACCATTTCGCCAACCATAGCGGGAAGTTTGGAGATATGGCACGAAAGATGCGTAAGAGTGGCTCGAGGCGTAGCCGAGAGCAACTCTAGCTTCCCAAGTGCTTCATATATCGATGAACGCACAGCTGACGGATGAACCAATTGTTTTATAACATTTTCAATGCTGTAGTTTATGTGTAAAGGGCACATATCCCCCTCCTACGCTTCAATGCGTTGTTTATTTATTTTGTTTCGGAAAAGTATTTCGCTATGCTTCAATGACTTTGTCTCAGATTGGTCAAAAACTGCGTGGAAATGAAGGTAGAGTTGCGAAACGAGATGAAACCGGGGTTGATTGTTTTGTTTTCCCTTTCTCTGGGTTCTTTCTCGGGAGTTAAAAATACATTCCCAAAGAAAAAGTATATGCCGATGAAGATCTGCCTTGAGGCAGATTTTCGCGAGGCATTTGTTTGCCGACCTCACAGCGTGCACAATGGAAAATTGAAGCACGCTCGCGTTATTGAATTTGAGTACACGAATTTATAAGCTACCGTATTTTCTCGATTAAACGCCGGCCCCGATTAAACGCCGGCCTCGAAAAAACAGGGTCAACACTGACGATTTTTTATTAAACGCCGGGGGCATTTAATCGAGAAAATACGGTTGTTTTAATACACACTAGTGTGGATGGGGCCTGTTTTAAATTTTTGTATGCAAATACGCTGGTCTAATCAAAGTTCATGTAACTTGACCCCGTTGACCTTAAGTTTTGTGGACCACAACAAATTACCTAGGACAGGGCGAGAACCGACCTCCATAATGGGGTATAACTGGACAAATCACAACATATCCAACGTCCCAAATATATTATTGAAAGATACAAAAGCCCATCCACGCGAAAGAAGATGAACTGAGCTGGTCCTGAATTGTTGTCGTTTTAACACTTTACCGCTTAAATAATATTACGGGAAGTCACGCACAAGAGCCGCGATTGGAAATACTGATCTTAAAAATTGCGTTTAAAGTTTCCCGAGAATTGAAAACAGGCTACTTATTTAAGCAGAATACGTTAAAACAGCCTTTCGTTCGAAACGCGTACATCGAAAACATTCTCTGCTGCGCTACCGTAAGTCACTGATAATTACGCACTCGGTAATTCAGGCCCCGTCCACACTAATTTGTAGTGAAAGGAGAAACAGAAAGCTCACTTTTTTCTTTCTGAATTAAATAGACATTGTAAATCTTGCAGCGAAAAGTTTACTTATTCATATCTACGTTTAATTTTGCAGCTCGGTAGCCTGCATGTTAACTCCCCAAGTAAAATTCACGACGATCACCCAAGTTGTAGCTCCTCCAGGTCATAGTTCGTTCTGTTCACTATATCCAGGTTGTAAAGACCACCTTAGCTTTTTCTTTCTTTTTATATATTCCGTACTGAAAATTTTTCGAGAGGTCTCAGTTTTCGAGGTAGACTTGCTCACAAGTCGCGCTTTTGAGCGCATAGCGCGACAGTGAACGCGAAGCGCGAGCGAGCCGAGCCGAGTCGAGCGAGCGAGCGAAGTTCTGCGGGTCCTACTACACCAGAAAACCAAGCGAACAACTTTTAGAAAGTCTATTTTCGAGGGGTCTTAGTTTTCGAGAGGTCTTAGTTTTCGAGGGGTCTTAGGTCTTAGGTCTTAGGTCTTAGGTCTTAGGTCTTAGGTCTTAGGTCTTAGTTTTCGAGACACCCAGATTTCAGCCTTTTCCTTGCCCAGTACAAACTTTCCCTTATTTCTCGTCTCACAAACTTTAATATTATGACAGGATCCACTGATGCCCTACTGCTTGGAATTCGATGATAAACGGATATATCATTCCTTTCCAACGGAATGGCCATCTTCCGACTTAGCTGAAGCACAATGTCGTTAGTATCTTCCACCTGGGAATCCTCTGGAAGTGGAATACCACGAATTTCAACACAGTCTCTTCTAGTATACTGCTCTATGTCATTAACGGACTTTTGTACTAACTTCAAGTCGTTTACAGAACTTGACACTTGATCTTTGAGGCTAGCATGTTCTTCCTTAAGTGCCTTGTTCTCTCTCTCCTTGAAGCGCCTCAAAAGTCTCTTCTATCTTCTCAAATTTCGTAGTCAACAATTTCACCGTCGCCAAAGCTTCCTTTAACTGCTCAGAAAGCGGGCTGAGTTTTTCATCTAAAATCCTTTCTAGCTTTTCCGTTGTAATATTAGGCATAATTCCTTGTATAAACTGTAATGAGAATCACAAAACTGGACAAAAACGAACACGTCCGCCATGCTGCATGACCGCTGACTACTCTCTCTTTTTATTTACTTACTATCTTTGGTAGTAAGTAAATAAAACTGCAATGGTTTTTGGAAATATGCTAAAATAAATTTTTTTGAGCTTTCAACAGTCACAGCTGCAAAAGGCCTTCTTTTGGCCTCTTGCGACATCGTAGTTTCAAAAGTTAACAAGCTACTCGTAACACACCAAGTGCAGTGCAAAAAATCGTATGTGTAACTAAATTTTGCAATATTCAAAGGGTTTTAAAAGCATTTTAATTTCGATGTGTGTTTATTTAGAGGTTCTCAATAATTTATTAAAAAACATCCATTAGACAGCTTTTTGAAATTGCTCAAAAGTACTCTTTCTTGGTTGATATTTCTCAAGTCCTGACCACACCATCAAAACTCCGGTTGATTTCTTCTAATAAGATGTTCGAAGGCATAGAAATATAGTAATGGCTTGCACTTATTCATTTCCTTCACCGTCCGACTTCAAACTTTTTGTGATTTTGCTAGCGCGACAGCCAAATTATGCAAATTGTCTGTTAAGGAAACTCCAACCGTTTTCAGAGGTGTCGCGACCATATACGCACGTACGCACGTGCATACCTAAAAATATCTATAAAATATCTCTACTTTTTTTTCAATAGATCTATCGGCGAAAGGGGACTTTTAAACATACAAGAGTTTTCCCTTTTTACTGCTGCTATTTTACGAAAGAAAACTTGACAAAACATTCCACTGTTCATTTGTTTAGTTAATTAGTATGAGAGTTCAAAACCTAGTCATCACAACCATAGTAACAGAATAAAAAAGCAAAAATAAAATGGATCGAAATCCACCGATCGCAAAACAAAAACTTCGCCTTTTGACCCATTTGACCCCTTCCTTTTTCTGAGAGGTCCGCAAAAGCATTTGACCTGATTTGACGGCAGCTTAAAACGCAGTCATTTCGGGTCTGTTTGAGCTTATGAGTTCATGAATTGCTTTACAATGTGCTTGAGTTCGTGAATGAATTAAATGGCCCAAAGACCAATAAGCGACTTTTTTAGCCGGAGAGTGATAACAAGGTCAATGAAGAGGAACCTACAGAAGGTAAGTGTCCTTTGAAAAATTTAATGAAATATTTAAAGAAGGTTTTGATCCTTATAATCTAGATTTACGAAAAAAGGACGTGATTTATTCATTTTTGTGTTTCCTTAAAAAAAAAAGGAAAGACCAAAAATACACTATTTCTTTGCCAACATTTCCAATTAGAACTATAAATAGTGTTACGGCTTAAAAAAAAGGCAAAAAAAAGTACATACGACCGTCAAAGCACGATATGAAATGCATGATATAGCCACAGTCATTACACCTTGTAAATAAACCTCGTTAATAGCAGTCATATGCTGATTTTGTTAGATACAAACTGTTTCACTAGGACAACTAATGCGGTACAAACTGAAAGTGGCTGCATATCGCTAGAAACGATACTGAACCCCAGCAAATGGTTGCTATTGGTTGTCACTGCATTTACATCCCCAAATAACTTTCTTCTGATGCCTAGTGCTCGTTAGCATTATCAAAAAGCGGAGGAGTAATCTCTTAATGCATCTTGTGTAATCCCCAACTAACAATAGCTGTTGGCGTTCCCTGCATGTTCCTCCCCAAAGAGCTTTATTCTGATGGCAAGTGCACGCTTGTGTGACTCAGCAGCTGAGGACTACTCTCCCTGCTCGTGTTGGGTAACCCCCAGCTGACGGTAGCTGTCGGCGGTGTCTACATGTTCCTCCCCAAGTAACTTTATTCTGATGCCAAGTGCACGCTTGTGTGACTCAGAAGCTGAGGAGTACTCTCCCAGGTTGTGTTGAGTAGCCCCCAGCTGACGGTAGCTGTCGGCGGTGTCTAAATGTTCCTCCCCAAGTAACTTTATTCTGATGCCAAGTGCACGCTTGTGTGACTCAGCAGCTGAGGAGTANCTGTCTTGCAGTCTGAACATCCATTAATTAGACTTTGAAAAATGCTCTTTTCATTCTCAAAGAACTCGATAAATGCTGTCATTGATTTTCCAGTAAGGAACATTTCATTTAATTTGTCAAACAAAGATATGAAGAAAGATAAAAAGCGAGTGTTTGCGAGTAGAATTGTTTCTTTCATGTCAAGCTCGCCTTTGTGCTTTGCGTACGACTGTAAAAGCTTGTGAATGGAGAACTCGTGCAAATTTGGACAGCTGTCAATGAGGGACCTCCTTTGTAGCTCGCGCAAAACTTTTTTGGCTTCGGAGGAACTTGATAGTCCTAAAACAGCTTTTGCAATCGTGAGATCAAAATTTTCGGGTAGAATACACAAGGATATCAGTGCCTCTTGATTCTGCGAAGAGAGTCTCTGGAAAGATGATTCAAATAGGGATTTTAGCCTCAAATCACTGGTATAATCTGGGTTGTCCAGCAGCTCAATTAGACTACGTTTCGACTGCAATAACTCATCAAGATCCGAACTACAATGGGCAAAATCTTCAAAAAGTGACGAGCACAAAAGCTTTATGGCTAAAGGCACCTGCCCACAGATCTGCACGATTTTCATTACGTTAGTTGTGTTCACCTCCGGAAGAAGCTGTCTCACCAAAGTCTTGGACGATGATGTTTCGAGTTCTCTTATCCTAACAGACTGGTGTCCCTGCAAAGACACATTCATAAAAGCCATTGACTCCCTCCTAGTTAAAAGAAAATCTACCTTTTCACTGCGGTTGAGAATCTCTTTCAGCAGATTCACAGTCTCCTCTTTCACGGTTGACGCACCACATTCAAACAAATCATCAGCATTATCAAGGATCAACACACAGTGATCCGACAGGCGTTCAAAAATGAAACCAATTTCATCTTCAACAGTTAAACTTTGCTTCGCTGATTTATCAGTCCGAAAGATGCTAAGTAGTTTTGACATTAAATCTCCTTTTGACTTCAGCCCACGTAATGAAATAAAGTAGACAGGCAAACCCCGTTCACGAAGATGATGCCCCACAGCAATTGCCGTGGACGTCTTTCCAAACCCTGGCGAGCCCCAAACGGATACGATTCGTGTCGAATCAGAAGTCATGTGACCAATAATCTGGTCACACTCCTCCTCGCGACCAGTGAAATGCGGAACCATCGGAGGGAGATTTGATCGAGGTAAAGAGAGTTTAGAACCTAACGAAAAAGCAAATAAAAGCATCTCTGAGTAAATGCTCTACCTTTTTTAGCGAATAAAGTTAAATCAGAAATTAACAAATGAAAAAAAAAAAAAAATTAAAAGCCTCCACAGTTCAATGCCCTATTCTAAAGCATGTTGGGAGTGGTTAGATCACAGTGAAGTGCAGCCAGGGAAAATACTAGGCATAATCGAATTTCTCTATCTACTTTTTCCGTGCTACTACAGCTTTCTTTGTACCCCAGAACAGAGCAGGGCATAGTGGAGGCTTTTGTGTGTTATCAGAAAGAACCTATCATTTTCCTCACTTTCTCAAACAGTTTACGGGTGAAGGAGCTAAATTAACGGCTATACAAAAGGTAGCATCTCTTGCAAAAACGGTGTGCTTGCAAAAGTTCCAAACCGATCTGAAGCTATAAGATGCGTACATTGTTCCAAAATAAAATGAAATAGAAAAATGAAGAAGAAAATCTACGTTAGTACAGCTTAGCCTAGTTTTCGTGCCGACAGAAGGAGTTGAAAGCTAATTTATTTGTGGCGCTTTCCCCATTGGTGTATCAATTGATCGGCTTTCAGTATCAAAAAAGTAGGTATGACAACTTCACCACTTCTGTTAAGGAAAATATGTACAGTCGTCTCCCGATAACTATTACTGCGGCTGGACAAGACCCTTGTCCTGATAAATGGATCAGGGGAAAGCTTGGTAAGATAACATTTAAAAAAATCGGCACGTAACGTGACAAACCAAACAATTAGCAGCATTATGTCAAGCAGTTGATCTATGAAATCGCGCAGTTCAAGTATTGGTCACGTTGGTTTCAATAATAACCAATCTTTTAGAACTGCTTACCTGAACTCTCCTCCTTCAGTAGGTCTTTGATCGTTTGGTTGAGCTCGGAAATTCTTTGCGTCACCAACGTTTGGCTAGAAGCGATTGTTTTCAGGTCCAGAGTATCGTCACCTCGTGATTCGTGTAATAACTTGATCTCACGTTTAAAAGCTTTTCTGAGTGCGCTGCTTTCAGTTTGAATCTCGGAAAACTTTGCATTTATCATTTCTTGGCCGGCAGCGTTTGCCATCCCAAAGGTCTTCTTCAGGTCCAAAGTGCTTTCTAGGTAAGATTCTTGTAAGAGCTTTAGCTCATCTTCTACATTTTTCACGCGTGCAATTCTTTCCTTGTCAAAGTCGGCAAACTTTCTATTTATCATCTCCTGGCTTGCTGCATCGACCGTTTCAATTGCTTTCTTCAGTTCTTGAATACCTTCCCTTTGCGATTCCTGTAGAAGCCTTAGCTCATCTTTCACACCTTCCCTGAGAGCTATGCCTTTATTCTGAAACTCGGCAAACTTCTCAGTCATCATCTCTCGGCTGGTAACATTTTCTGTTTCGATTGCCTTCTTCAAGTGTACAGTACCCTCTAGCTGTGATTTCCGAAGAAGCTTTAGGTCATCCTTCACATCTTTGGTGGAAGAAGTAACTTCTGTCTGAAGTTTGGCTATTTCCGCGTTGGTGATATCTTGACTTTCCGTTGTGGTCCTCTTTAGCGTCTTCTTCAGCTCTTCAGTACCTTTCCTTTGGGATTTTTTTAGGAGCTGCAACTCATTTTTAACTTCTTCTCTGAGAAATTCGTTTTCTTTTTGAACCTCTTTTCTGATGTCATCCCTTATCTTCTGAACTTCCTTAGTGGGAAAGTCAGACTCAGTCAAACTTCCAACAGCATCAATGGGGCCAGTATTGACTCCAAGCGCCTTGATCGCGTCTTTCGCGAGTTTAACATATCGATCAAACGTTGTTTTGTCCAATTCGGATTTAAATGCGTGACAGAACGAATTTCTCAACAAACGAATCTGATCGATCGCTAGTGCAATGGTTTCTGCGTTATCTCCAGTAGAACTAACCACAGAAGAATGGAAAGTACCATGTGGTAATTTACAAGGNTTAGTGAATGGCTGTAACGCCATTATTGAAAGCAACGATTCTTGCCGGACTCCGGTGAAAACTTTCTTACATTTTCACTTAAAGCAGGTCTATGAAAATAAGAAAAAAGATAATAGTTAAATGTTAAACCGAGACTTTGACAATTTGGGGTGAAATAGCAGTGCTGTCGAAATTCTCTTCGAATCAGAAAAGGTGTTTTGATATTCCAGGTATTTTTTCGTAGCAGGTCTACCCTTTGCTATGGACACGCTGTAATCCCTCAGGAATAGAGACTGTATGGACTCTCAGATGTCTCATACTGGCGCTATTGCACAAGCCGGGATTAACACGAATAAGAAAACTGTACACGTAGAGCTCCGCTCTAATAAAGCCACCTTCGAGTGCATGAGTGTTAAAACTTGAATAATTCACAGGTGCTTTCCTTTTGCTTCACTAGCCCCAACGCTTTGTCTACAAAACTAAAACCGTCCCTATATCAGTTTGGGCTATTAGCAGCGGATAGTGTTTTGCTCATAGGTGTACTAATGCAAAACAAGTGTTGCTTTGATTACATTGTACGCATTGTTGAGTTATGAGCGTGTTTTCTATATCAAATTTTTGCTTATTTTTGAAAAAGAACAGACGAACAAACTATGGACTCAGAGCTGAAATTCAAAACCAAATCTCGTTGAAGGCTTCCGGCTAGCGCTCTCGACGCCCTGGATCTCCGCTTTGTAAACCGTGTTTTCTCGTTATAGACAAATTAAACAAACGTATCAACTGAGCCTTAAATTCCTGTCACGTGAAACTTTCTTTTCGAATTTAAAGAAAAGTTTAGAAACATTGTTCAATCATGGCCTGAAAGCTCATAACGTTTGAAATGTGAGTTACGAGATACAGCAGACTTTCGGCAAACAAATTATTTTTTCATTCTCATTCAACCACAAGCACCTCTACAGCGTTACTTTGCCGAAAGTCGAATTAGTTAAAAAATGGTTTTAAAAGGCGATCTTGATTCTGGGGAACGAGTGCCAAGTGCGAGAGATTAAGGTTTCCCCGCGCGAGAGTTACGAGAGAGCTTGGGTGCGAGGCTAGTACAAACATAGGTCGTGTGGCATTGATTATGTAGCCATGTGCAACAACTCAAATTGAAGTGATAAAATTCCCTCGATTACGTGTTACATGAAGTCAATTTCAAAATTCCGTAAAAACAAAGCGAGTCACACCACAGGGAAACCATACAAGCGGCGTGTCTGGTCGTTTGTTCGAAATATAAAGAAATGTATGGGAGAATATTGAAGAGTCATACTATCGTAAACTTATATCGAGAAATGTCTATGTTAGGCTCAAAATCAATGTAAACCTACCTCACTTGCTGTGTATTGTCGTTTCTGTTGTTCTAAATGGTGAATTTGAGCGATTTGGTAGATTCTGTGTTGAGTGTTGCTTCACGTTATAACAAGGAGACAAGGGTGGAAAGCTCATTTTCGACCGCTCCAGCGCGAAGCCGATTTTCACCCATAAATTATAATCGCCTGGCTTCTAAATCAAACACTAGATAAACTAAAAGGTTGACGCTTCTTCTCGTGTCATTCAAACGGAGATCCATTCAAAATCCAAGCGCTAACCGCCGAAAAAGTTTCGGGTTGGTCAGCGGTCTTAATGGCGATCGGATGTGTATTTTCGTCGCCTTGGCTTTTGCTGACCCGTTTGATCTTTCTGATATCCTCTGGACGACAAAAGGATTTAAGTAGTTTTTCTATTGACTCGTTGCATCTGCCTATGAAGTCTGGTTCTCATGTGGTAAATTTTTCGCTGAATTTTCATCACTCCTCTTCGTGGAATCATGTCTGCCATTTGTAGCCTTTGCAACACGCAGGAAAAGATATTTAAGCTTGTGGGTGAGCTAGTATGCAAATTCCGACAGCAGTTTCCAGCAAACTCGTCTTTTCAAAAGCGGCGACGTTTCTCTCAACCCTGAACGATTTCTCATAAACGCTCAATCTGTAGACGAACCGTGGCTCGAAACCATCAAGCTATAAGCTGCGACTCTTGCTCCGCCAATATTAACTGATGCAAAAAGCCGGTGATATCTGTTGGACTTGTCCTCGCTGCCTTCTATCCACGTTACCTTTTGCCCACGTTAGCGACAATGAGCTTGTAAATCACTTTTCCACAATAAACTCCACACAGACCACCGAAACTATGGTCCAGCTACTTCATTCTTCTTCTAGCGCCAGCTTTTCAAAGCCCGCCTTTGGATCGGGAAGGCTTCGTTGCTTACTCACAAATGTTCGATCACTGAAAAACAAATTGTTGGATATTCAAGCTGCAGTTTATAGCGCTGGCCTGGATATCATAGCCGTTACTGAAACATGGTTAAACTCATGTAATCTTGACCATGAAATCCTTCCTTCAGGTTGCCAGTTACACAGGAAAGATCGACAGGATCGTCAAGGTGGAGGAATTCTGTTTGCATTACGGAATGATTTTGTGGTAGTCAGAAGATACGATCTGGAAACTGATTGTGGGCTAATGTGGAATGAACTGTAAACTGCTGCCGGTCTTAAGCTCCTGTTTGGTGTCTTCTACCGTCCCCCAAATACTGATATAGAATACATGCTTCTCCTTCAAGAATAGGTAAAACAACTTCACTTTCAATAAGATTTTCCTCGTTGGAGATTTTAATCTGCTTAACTTTGACTGGATAAATCAGATACCCCTCTCCACTGATCAACTTTACCTGAAGACCTACGAAATCATAAGCGACCTATTCCTCACTCAAGTAATTACTTCTGCTACTCGTGGTAAAAATATTCTGGACTTGGTTTTGACTTCGACGCCTGACTTAGTTACTGATCTGTCCTTGAGTGCGGGTTTCTTACATTCCGACCATCTCAGTATATCCTTCAGTATCTCTATCAAACCTACATGCTTCAGAGCCACGCCAAAAGAAATTTTAAACTTTAAAAAAGCAGACATGGATGAACTGAGGAAAACCCTGTCCTACATACTTTGGCATGCTGCTATTTTAGATGATGACATAAACATGACCGTAATTAAGTAGGAGGACCTTTTCTGGGCAGCAGGGAATGAATTTGTTCCTCGCAAAAGGGTCAGGGACAAGCAGACACCCCCCTGGATAGATTCTGAAGTAAAGGCACTGAAGAAAAAGGACAAGGCAGTCGAAGAGCTTTGAAATAAAAAAACCAAGACCATATCAACAATTTTAAATCTCTTAGAAGAAACGTAAAGAAACTGATCCACAAAAAGTACACTGACTACCTATATAACTTTGCTGATTCTGTTGAAAGGGAAACCAAGAAGTTTTGGAGCTTTTACTGCACTAAAACAAAATCTAGAAAACTTCCACTGGCTATAAAGAGAAACAAAGACGACAGAAACCCAGTCGTGTCATCCTATGGTAAAGCGAATCTTTCTAATGAATACTTCCACTCAGTTTATAGTCATGCTTATGCTGAACCTCCACCACCGGGATCTCACCCTGTTTTACCTATTTATGAAATTTCAACTGTGGCTTTCTCTGTTTCTGAGGTAAAATCCATCTTCGAAAGCCTGGACCCATCAAAAAGTCCTGGACCAGATGGCATAACTGCCAGGCTCTTGAAAGAGTTTTCTTCTGAAGCAAGTGACTCATTTACATCAATTTTCAACAAGTTATTAACAAGTGGTGTTTTCCCAGAGAAATGGAAAGACTCAAATCTCACCCCTGTTTTTAAATCTGTTCAAAAAGATGTAGTTACCAATTATAGAGGTATCTCAGTTTTGTCCATTATGTCAAAAGGACTTGAAAGATGTGTCCATACCTACATCTACAGCCATGTCCAAGACCTTCTTCACCCAGAACAACATGCTTTCAGAAAACATAAATCTTGCGTCACCCAACTTGTTCAATATATTCATTCACTGGCAAAAATACTTGACTCGGGTGGTCAAACTGATGTCATATACCTGGACATGGCAAAAGCTTTTGACCGGGTACCACATGAGAAAGTTATGTATAAACTCGAAATGCTTGGCTTTGGAAATCCATTATTAGCCTGGATCAAAGACTATCTTACAAATAGACGTCATAGAGTCCTCATCGAAGGCATTGCGTCAGACTGGAAGCCAGTTACTTCCGGAGTTCCTCAAGGATCTATCATTGGCCCCATTCTATTTCTTGTATATGTAAATGACATTGCGGAAAAACTTTCTACTGGTACCAGTCTTCCCCTCTATGCAGATTATGCGAAGTGTGCCAGGGTGATTAACGACCTTAATGATTGTTACACCCTCAAAAACGATCTGTCAGCTCTACATGACTGGAGTAAACTATGGGAAATGAACTTTAATTCACAGAAATGCAAACAGCTCTGTATAACAAGGAAGGAAAAGCCAATCCACAATATCTATCATCTTGGTACGGAACAATTACTCCTATCTGACACGGAAAAGGATCTAGGTATAATGCTACATCACACACTAGCATGGCATGACCACATCTTTACAAAAGTAAATTCTGCTAATAAGATCCTGCGGCTAATTAAACGGACATGTGGAAATCAGACACAGTCTGCTGTGATTTGCAAGCTTTACATACACCTTGTGCGGCCTCACCTTGAATACGCCTGCGAAATCTAGTCCCCTCACCAAGCCTTTTGGCAGGACATGATTGAAAGCGTTCAGAGGCGAGCCACGCGACTCATGATCAAAGGAAAATCTAACATGGAGCGGTTGAAATCTCTCCATCTTCTAACCCTTAAGTCTAGAAGTACTCTACTTGAAGTGATCTTCTTTTAAAAATGTTAAAAGGGACTCTTAAATGTTAACTTATCTATTTTTATTATTTCCAGAAAAAATACAGCATTATGAACTAAGAAATGCTGATTTGTCATTTAAAACTCAATATGCGAAAACAAACATGCTAAAATATTCCTATTTCGATAAAACAGTTAAAGCCTGGAATTGTTTACCTATGCATGTCAGAAAGTGTGAGTCTCTTTCTGATTTTAAAAGTCTTTGTAAGGCTTATTTATACCAG